TTTTTGGGGGGGGGGGGGGGGGGGGGGGGGGGGGAGCGGAGCGGGGGGAGGAGCGGAGCGGGGGGAGGAGCGGAGCGGGGGGAGGAGCGGGGGGGAGAGGAGGCATGTCAAGAGCCAGCAATTACTTTCAATATAACTGGGTTTTCAGACCGTACTCCTCTGATTTAAAAAAACGACCCTCGGACTTCTTGTGCATTAGTCGTGGAACTCTCCTTTTCCACTCTTTTTTTCCCCTACTCCCTTTTTTTTTTCTCTTTTCTAAAAAGGTCGACGGCCTTACGATATCATCATTGACACTGACCAACACCAGGTAATTCAGAATTACTGTCTATTTCATTTCCGTTCATCTGACAGCATGCGGTCAGTTGGTACACCCACGAACTGTCTAGATAAGGAACTCTCTCGTTTTTCTTCTTTTTCCCTTTTTCTACGTTTTTGTGTCAACCGTGGAGAACTCTCTCGTGGTACAGACAGGGCAGAAGTCGAAGGCAAGAGAGGATGTCCAAGGCTGGGCATGTGTGAAGTTGGGGATTATTATATGGACGGGCATTATGGGCATATTGCGGATTCCTGGCTTGGGGTAGGAGGGAGGGTAGAGAGTTGCGCATTTAGGCCCCTGGGAGTTAGCCAAATGCGGCTTGTCTTTTCTCTGGGGGCCCGATTGCAGGTCCTCAAGGGTAATATGCACACCTCACACGCGGGGACCCCCCAGCATCTTCTCTCTTTCTTTTCCTTTTTTTTTTTGGCTTGTCTTTTCTCTGGGGGTCCGATTGCAGGTCCTCAAGGGTAACATGCACACCTCATACGCGGGGACACCCCAGCATCTTCTCTCTTTCTTTTCCTTTCTTTTATTTTTTCTTGAGGCGACAGCCTTGAGGTATCATCGCCGGACTGACCTGCCCCTGGTATTTTAAGTACTCATCCATCAGCATTCGTACTCGGGTCTGTTTATTCACCAATTACAAGGGTCTACCATTTCAGCCCATGCATGGGCTGGGTGACCCGAGTATCATTCCCCCCCACCCCCCACCCTCCCTTCCCCCCCAAAAAAGACGCCCAGGTTGTTGTAGAGGTCGGAGAGAAAGAGAGAAAGAGAGAAAGAGAAAGAGAGAAAGAGAAAGAGAGAAAGAGATAGGAAGAAGATAAGGTAGCCATCGCGAGCAGCGAGGTTGGAACTACAATTCTCTATTTCATTTCATTTCATTTCAGCCGGAAGCGAAGACCAGAGCCTAAGAGAGCGAGAGAGACAGAGAGAGAGGGAAAGAGGGAAAGAGGGGAAGTAGAGTGATCGTGAGCGGGCACGTTGCAACGACGACACTTCTCTTCTTCTTCCTTTTCTTGTCTCTTTTCACTTTTCTGTTTCCTCTTTTCCACCCATCGCCTGCAAGGAAGAACAAATCCTTCCTTCAGGGCATCTCATCTGCTAAAATTGGACCGATGCAAACAAAGAAAAATGGAACAGTGGTCACGATACACAGAAGACTACCATGACGGCCCATGCATCCGCCGCTGCTGCAAGGACCCACACGCAAAAAACAAGAACAAATGGTCGAAATTTTACCTACAAAGAACGAGGAGAAGATGACACGAGGAAAAAAAAAAAAAAAGTCCTTCGGGTCGGGACATCTGTTAAAACTGGAACGATACAGAGAAGATTAGCATGGTCCCTGCGTAAGGATGACACCCATAAATCAAAGACAGGGAAAGGAAGAAGGGAAAACGACACGCACGAGGTCTGCTCTCTGATAAGGCTGAAGAGAAGGTGAAAGGTGAAACATCACTAGAACCAGGAGGAACATCACTAGAACCAGGAGGAACATCACGAGGGAGGGAAAACTTCAGACGGTGAATTCCAAGAAAAATGAGGCAAAAGGAAATTGAAAAAAAAAAACAGAATTAACGTACCGTGAGCGGCTTCAGCGCGACGATACGGCAGCGTCCTCCCTGTTCCCTCAAATACCTTGCGCACGCGTCATTCAGGTCATCCACCGTGACAGCACATACGCTGCACTGATCCTGTGTGATGATGATGTCAGGGCGGAGCTGTCTCAACTTCTCCGCGTCCACTTGATACCGCGCCAGGCCCTTCTCAAGTCTCTCGCGCAAAATGCGATCGACCTTGCGCGCCGTCATTCGCGCTTGCGCGGACGCGCGCAATCCATCCCCCCCCGCTCCCCCCGCACCCTCCATCTCCCGCGCCGATCCATCGCACCGCCATTCATCCATCATCACATTGATGTATGCGCTCTCTCCCGCCGCCTCCTCAATCGCCTCCCCGCTGCCATTGTCTAATCGTTCATTACTATAATAATACCCCCTATCACCATCGCCCCCAGCTTCCCCCCCAACTGTGGTGTTAGTCCCAGCAGCTCTAGCTTGGCGCGCAGCCAGAAAATTGGGCGGTCTCGACACACAGGGCAAGCTGAGAACCGAAGCCGGTCGCTTGCACTCGTGTGAACGACCTACCAGAAGATTTTCTCCGCCCAGAAGATAGATGATCTCCGTGGCCGCTCCCAACAACGACACCACCCTCAAAGCTCCCCCCTCCTCTTTGCCTCCCCCCTCCGCGCCCCCTCTTGCTAATCCTCCTGAGGTTGCTTTCTTGCTGGCGACAGCAGCAGCCGAAGAGAGGGCGCCGTCCGCGACGGCGGCGGAAAGCCGAGTAGAGTAGGAGGAATCCATGATGATGGTTCTGTTTATCACCCCACCCAACCCGATTGTACTGTCTAAGCAGAGGAGAGGGCGCCGTCCGCGACGGCGGCGGAAAGCAGAGTAGATTCAATGGAACACAATGTCACGAACGAAACTAATCTACCGAATTTTCGGTCGAATTTCAATTACAACTAGTCCGACCAAAAAAAAAAAAACACTTCAAAAAAGAGAAAACCTACCTGCCTGGGTGAGGGGTGTAATTCCTGCACAAAAGCTTAAGCACAGGGAAATGATCCCCCTATGTAAACAAGACCTTTGCTGTAAGTGGGGGGGGGGGGCTGGCGAAGAGGGTGAAATTTTAAAAAGTGAAATAAATTAATTAAAAAAAAAAAAAAAAAGCAAACAGAAAGACGCTTCCGATATCCTGGATTCGCCAGTCGCGATTTCGACACTGACATTGAAGACCGGCGGCCTGCTCTCAACAAAAGATCGAGTATTTAACATCCAAAAAAAACACTACATTTGCCTTATTGATATATCTGCACCATTATTATGCCGACAAATAGCCTGCAATACCGACATCGGGCAACTCTGATAACCGAGAGAGATAGAGTACCAGACACAGAGAGAGAGAGAGAGAGAGAGAGATTCCAAGAGCGATAAGGTTTCCTATTTTACGCCGGGGGAGTGCAAACAAGTGTCCGAGTGTAGAATGTATCTGCAAGACGACGTGCGCCTCCTGTGCCTTTCCATAGCAATGACTACCTACAGAGTGCAGATGGGAGAGAGAGGAGACTGAAAAACGAGAGACAGCGAGAAAAGAGGCTGAGAAACACAGAGAAAGTGAGAGAGAGGATTGGGGGACGGAGGTAGGGAGGGAGGGTTTCTGAGTTTCTCCCGGAGAAATGCCGCGACTGACACCCGGTATACTCTGGACTGTACGTCGCCGAGCGAGAAACTATTCAGAAAACGTAACACATGGTCGGTTCTACTGCCGCCGCTTGAACCCCTTTTTTCAAGCACGTCCGTCGGCTCTCGCCCACTCTTGTCCCCTTCTTGCCCGTTCACGCACTTTCCCCTCTCCCCCCCTCTCCCCCTCTGTGTGTGTGTGTGTGTGTGTGTGTGTGTGTGTGTGTGTGTGTGTGTGTGTGTGTGTGTGCGTGCGTGCTGGGTGTGCGTGGGTGCTCGCCTCCGTGCGTCTCTGTGTTTTGCCCAGCACGGGCGACCATCGCTTCTCTGGTCCGGGTATTCCACGTGTACCACACAACATTAGCCTACATTCAATGACCGACAGATCGATAGTTCGGGATCACCAGCCGGCAGATATGGTTGCCTTTGATCTCTGTTAGCGCCGCCTCCTGCTGCTCTCCGGTCCGCCAGCTGACGTGGAGAGACGAATTCGAGAGAAACTGCCGCCAACGCCAAAGATCCATCTCTCTCTCTCTCTCTCTCTCTTACACACACACACACACACACACACACACACACACAGAACCGACTCCGCTTACACCGAAAGCGCAGGGAATAAATCAGTGGCGGTTTTTCCCCCCATCAACGAAAAACCTGAAATCATCGCCAGGCGTCCTGGTATATCTCACCCGGGATCAAAACTCTCAAACGCGCACGCACAGTCCGACATTTGATGACGGCATCAGAAGCTGTTGATATTCATTCCCGTCAGCTCGCCGTCTCATGTTCGGTGTACATGTTCGTATCTGGCGGGTAGTGTTTTTCAGCTTCTTCTCGCGGTTCATGTTCCAATCACGACCGACGGAATTTGCCGTCTACCGCTCATATGTCAAATGTAATATTCAAAAAAAAAAAAAAAAAAAAAAGTAAAATTCAACCCCGCCACCTACCGGGGGCGAGGTCCCACTCGCAAAGAGGATTGGCTTGAATGCCCGAATCTGGACGTGTATGACGACAGATGCAGAAAACCGTGACTGATCTGCTTTTTTGCATCTCCGCCAAGAACCTATCCAGATTCCGGCTCCTAATTCGATCCTCTTTGCTAGTGGGACCCCGCCCCGGCCCTCATTCTAGTTCTACCGTAGGCGGGCACTCGTCTCCCGGCCCGCCTTCTGCTGTGGCCAATTCCCAATTTCCCGCCCCTCGTGCCCTCCCCTTCAACCCCGTTCCCCTTCCTCTTTCCCCGACCGCCGCTTTCCGATTCCGACTCCAGCCCCACTGACTCTCCTACGCCCTTTTCGGCGGGTCTAGAACTACCGTACGTATATAGCATCAGTTCGGTCAGACAGTAACAATCACGGGGAAGGAAAGAGGATAATCGCGCACTCTGCGCGGGGTCATCGTCCTAATGACCGCCGCCGCAGGCGTCGGCACCGTTTGGCCTCCTCCGATTCCAAATGGTCCAATTCCGACTTTCGGTTCTCTGGGCGTGGTCCCGCTGGTAGGTAGCAAAGAGGATCGGATCGAATGCCTGAATCTGGACGAGGATATGGAGATGTGCAGGAAATCGAGATTGAAATGCTTTTCCGCATCTCTGCATAAAACACACACATCCAGATTCAGTAGGTCGACTCTATCCTTTTTGGTACGGTAGTGGGACCTCGTCCCTGCAGTCTGAAGAGAAGGTGGAAAAGTCCTTCGGGAAACGGAACGATACAGAGTAATGGGAACGATACAGCATGGCCTCTGCGCAAGGATGACACGCATAAATCGAGACGAGAAATGGAGAAAAGGTGGAACAGAGGGCCTCGCCACACCACTAAAAATAATAAAGGTGACCAACTTCTCAAAAAAAAAAAAAAAAAAAAAAAGGGAAGAATGACGACCTATCAACCGGCTCCAAACAGCCATGCAATCAGGTGCCCATCCCAGAATCGGCGAATACCCAGCACCCAGCACCACGTGCCACGGGCTGGGAGACAACGTCCTCAGGGCCGCCAGCCACCGACGTTCTCTCTATCCGTGCAAGCAGCTCGGCGACCTTCATCCCCAACCTCATTGGCTGCCTGGTGCTGCAGTCGAACCCATGCGCTATGGATCATCAGTTAGCATTTGTGTACCACTCACCCACATGAGCTGAAGCGCCTTCCAGGTTATCTTTGCGTTCGCTGTAAATGCCTGCACCTGTGACTGTGAGTCCCCAAAAGGCTGGGAAGAGAACAGATCTCACATAATTTGCAGATCTGTGATTGTAGACCTGCTGTTGACGCTACCCGCAGTGAGGGAATTCGGCCCACTGCTTAGAAGCCAGTTGTGTGTGGAAATCTCGGATTGGAGATGTTCCAGAGAACAATTGCCGTGTATTGCAACGGTGAGCCTACAATATATGCCAGTCACAGCTGAGTGCCAATCAAGAGCATCAAGGCTGTAATTGGAGAAAAGCAGTGGTGGTAGTACCGCTAGGAGGGAATAAACCAGCAAGAATGCAGATCTGAGCCCAGCCAAGCCACCCAGCGCAAGCTCACTCGGAAGAGGCGAGAGTATTGCATGAGCAAACCGAGTCCACCAGCAAGATCTGAGCCCAGCCACCCGGCCCAAGCTCGCTTGGAAGGTGCGATGCGAGAGTGAATGCATAAGCAAACCTGTGCGGACACAACAGACCCGCAACAGGGGCCAACCCATAGCCATCACCCTCGACGGCAGCTATTCTGAACAAGGAGCTCATGACGGCAGCACATCAATCATCCTTGTTGCTCACTCCTTCCCTTCACCACCACTTGCTCCACCATCTCTACTTCTTTACCATCACTACTTTCCATCAGTGTGTGATGACCCGACCAAACACGGACTGAAACACACAGCTGATTTCTGAGTTTTGCTCAGAGACTGAATGTCTTGCTGAGTTTCCCGCTTGCTACTAAGTTCTATAAGTCTGTGTGTGTGCACTCTTGCTGGTCTGCATATCTGTCCGAGTGCTTGATGGCTTGAGTGTGTGTGTGACCCGCAAGGGCACTTGTTCTTTCGACGGGCCCTCATGGCCGGTACTTACCTGTGGCCGTGACATTGAGGATTGTAGTGGGGAAAACACTCAACTGGCGGGGGAAGAGGCCTGCAACACTTGAAGCAGCAGGGAAACACTCGAGTAGCAGGTAGGCCAGTACCACACCCTGAAGAGGTAGATGTGCCGGGTACTTGAGGCCGAGCAGAAGAAGACAAAAGTGGAATTTATAGAGGACCAGTAGTTGTAGGCTGGGTCTAGGCGGGTACCAGTCCAACCAGTCTGAGTCTAGGGCCTGTACGGGCAATATCAGAGTCTGCAATGATGTTTCCCTGAGAAAGGGAGGGTGTACCGGTTGCTTGGAAGGCCGAGCGGCCTGGAAGTCACCGCCCAAAAGGCAAGCAGACCGTTATATCTCCAGGCCGGGAGAAGAGCCCAGCCACATTGTCGGTGTGCAAGTTTGGCGACACACTGGTTGGAGCGCTGGCTTGAGCAGAGCTAGCAAGAGCAGCGCTGCTGGGGAAGGAGCAAGGACACGGAGGAGGAAGAAGACCAGGAGGAACGCGGAGCGCCAGAGGTACTTACCTGGCTATGGTGGCAGCCATCTTCATCACCTTGGTGGGCACTGCAGCAAGAAGGTCCCCGTGGGGGCAGAGCTACACCAAAAAGCTTCGAGGCAGAGTCAGGCGTGGCGGCCTGAGCTAGAGCAGCCATAGCTGCTTTGCGTTGTCCTTTGGACATCAGGGCAAGGCCCAAGTAGTCCGCCATAGTCTCGGCCTATGAGAGTGAAGAGTGAGGGAGGTGGCCATGGCTATGGTGGACCTCAAGTGATACTTGCAGTAGAAGAGGGATTCGGACATTGGTTCTGGTTCAGCCATTCAACATTGTACTATTATTTCCTGTGTGAATAAGAGAGGAGGAGTAAAGAAGGAAGAGACTGTTTGGCGAAGAAGAAAAGCGTTGTTAACTGCTCGTATTTTGTTTGTTTCATCAATATATTCTCAAGTACCAGTCTTCATGATCTTCTTAATAGAATCAAAACATATTTCAGTAAAAGCCTGTATCAAAAATCGTCGTTCTTTTCTTTTTTTCTCAGTCTTAATAGCAGCTTTTTTAACTCCTCCAGACATTTGGTTTCAATTTTTGTGTGTTTTACCTATTTATGGTGTGATAGAGTTAGCTATATTTTATGCAGGCGAGTTGCAGCCTGCAATCCGAACTGAGACCGGGTTTTTGAGGTTAGCTCGCCTTCGCAGGGTTGCAACTCTTTGTCCCGGCCATTATAGCACGTGTGTCGCCCAGGATGTAAGGGGCATGCTGACTTGATGTCATCCTCACCTTCCTCCGGATTATCACCGACAGTCGCTCTAGAGTTTCATAATGTCAACTAGAAACGAGGGTTGCGCTCATTGCGGGACTTAATATAATTGTTGGTATCAGAAATYCTGTCAAGGTAAAAGTACTATCATGTTTTGGATCGCAGTCAATTTGTAATATAACATTTTTCTATACTGGTGTACATCATTTTCTTCTTCTTCTTACCCTCTCTCTCCTCTCAAGTTCATTCATTTATTTCTGCAATTGAACGACATTGTATTATATTATGAAGTATAACAACTTCAACATTGTCAGCATAAATACTCTAACAATGGTCTTTTCGCGTTCTTCATGCATGTTGCATAAAGGGAACGTCGAATGAGTTATGTTTGCGTGTCGTCAGGTGGCACACCTGTTTATGTATTGGCTAGTTCTTAGTACATCCCACACTGTTGGGAATTTATCAAACTTTTACTTTTTCCAATGTACAGCACTCAAACAAATTAAACTATAAACAAATCTTGAAAATAAGAATTGGTATAAAGTTTTACATCAAGCTTCAAGTTGTATTGAACAATAGCAACAACATACTTTATAAAAATGAAAACATATTTTGTTCACTTAGGCACCATGCCGCATATAACAACTTACAACAAATGATACTTGAAACAGTGCGGTATAGAG